CAGACAGTGAAGGCAACACGTCTAACAGACAGTGAAGGCAGCACGTCTAACAGACAGTGAAGGCAACATGTCTCTAACAGACAGTGAAGGCAGCACGTCTAACAGACAGTGAAGGCAACACGTCTAACAGACAGTGAAGGCAGCACGTCTCTAACAGACAGTGAAGGCAACACGTCTAACAGACAGTGAAGGCATCACGTCTCTAAATAAATGAAGGACTCACCGTGTTCTGAGGACGTTTCATCATCCAGATCCCCTGAACATCTTGTGCTGACGTCACTGAGGAGACACAGATCATCAGAGCTCTGTAGGACCACCCTGTCTGAGGGGGGTTCAGGTTCTTACCGGAGTCTGCAGACATCTGGGACAGCTGGACMGGAGCGTCCAGCAGCACCTGCTTCTGCGGCTGTCGGTGGTTGTTCCTGACAAACACAAGCACAGAGCAGTCAGAGCTGCAGACAGGACCCGGGTCAGAACAAACCCATCTGCCCACTCACAGTTTGAGGGTGTTGAACATCTGGAAGCAGATGTCTCTGATGTCGTCCTCGTTCTTATTGTCTGCTGACACCTCCTGCAGGACTCCGCCCACAGCATCAAACACCTCYTCGCCATCCTCGAAGTCTGTGGCGCCGCTGTCCAAAACCCCTGCAACACCAGGACAGGGTTCTGATACAGGTGGGAGAACATCCACTCTGACTCCTGAAACCCCCCAGCCTGACCGGGTTCTGGACCACATTCTGACCCAGTTACAGCTCACTGCTGCCGGACAGGCTCCGCCCACTGAYCGGAAACCTCACCTGTCAGTGGTCATAAAGACGTGGCTCATCAGTGATCGTTGTGATTCTGACACTTTGCTAATAAAGTTCATTTAAAAAGATCACGTGACAGAGACTGAGGGACACGTGCTGAAYTTCACCTGAGCTTGAAGCGGTTTAAATCTGAAAACAGCTTTCTTTCCTTTTAGTTTTATTTTATTTTCAGTTTTAAAATCTGCCCTGGGTTTTGACCCGRGTTCGGTCCGGACCGGTATGATCCGGTGTCCCGGCTCCCTGCCTGACCGCGTCACCCCGGGCAGCGCAGCCGCAGCGGCCGCCCGGCTTTCAGGCGCTGGCGCCCGGCTAACAGGAGCACTGAAAGGCCGCTGTGTCCCGGCCCGGCCCCGGCCCGGCCCGCAGCCTCCGTCCCACGGGCACTCAGCGGCTCGAAGCCCCGGYACACAGCGGCTCTGTGTCCGCTCACTCACCTGTGATGTAGTCAAAAAGCTCCGTGTCGATCTCGGGAAACTCTGTCCTCAGGATGTCTACGTACGTCGCCATGATACCCGGCCCTGCTGACACTGCCGCAGTGCGCATGCGTCATGACGCAGCGGCGCCTTGACCTCTGGGAGATGGAGTTTTCAGTTCGATGACGTCAGAACGCGACTACACGTTTCTAAAAATAATCCTATCATTTTTATCAGTTGTGCCACGTGAGCCGTTTTATATTTTAAATGTGAGTTACGTTTAATTAGTTTATAAAATGTCATTTCACATTCACAGAGACMAAACGAAACAAAAATATTTATTTTAGGAAGATTCAGCCACTCATCTTTACTTCCTCTTATGCTCTTGTACATATCTCCTTTCTCATGGTTTAAGGAAAATTGTAGAGACACAATTCTGTATATTACAAAAATTAATAATTATGAATAATTAATATTAGGAATACTTTAAAGCAGCGTTGTTGAAGTACTGTAGCATCCTATCGTTTTATTTACAATGCAGTAGTTAAATACCAGAGGTTTATAGTAACTAAGTACATTTACTTCATTACAGTACTTAAGTAGTTTTTTGGAGGATTTGTAATTACTAACTATCTTTTAAACCAGGGGTTCTCAAGTCCTTTGGATCTGGGGACCACTTATAAACCAAATGCTGATTTAAAAGTTAATTTATTGTCATTTCAACCCCTAAATGCCATGGGAATATATATTTTATTAAGTTTACTAAGTTTGTTTCATTAGTTCATTGCTCTCCATGCATTTTTAAAAATAAAAACCAAATTAACATTTTAGTACATATTTTTGAGGACCCCTAAGATACCTCTTGCGGACCCCTGGGGGATCCAGGAACCCCTATTTGAGAACCTCTGTTTTAAACAGCTACTTTAACTTTTATTTCRTTACATTTTAAAGCTAAAAATTATACTTTTACTTCTTCACTTGAGTCGTAAAGTAACTAAGTACAAATACTTTGTTACTGTACTTAAGGTAAATTTTTGTGTATCTGTACTTTACTTGAGTAATTATTGTTCAGCATACTTTTTACTTTTACTTCTTACATTTTTAAAAGTATAAAGTTGTTACTTTTATTTCATTGTTTCTTGTTTTCATTGCAGCTTGTTGTTGTAAAAAATAAAAACTATCCATATAAACTGAGCCTCTTAGATAGAGTGAATTTAACTGTGGTTGAATGAGAAGTATAAATATATAAAACTCTGATAGTGTATTAGTTTGTACACAAACAAATCATGTCACACTCCAGCAGGACAGAATCATTCAAATAAAAGGACTGTACTTAAGAAGTATTTGTATTTCATGAATTATATTCTTACATTTGGCCGCAGCCCTCAGATAGATTTTCATTTTGGGGAAAAGCTTTGTGCAGCCTTGATATATGTATATAAACTGAAACAGCTGGACTAGTGCATCCTAAATTTAACATCCATTCATTCTTTTAATACAACAGTCATTTCTGCAGTTTTTGGGGAGGTCACCTCCTAATAAATGTCCTTACAGAAAATCTAACTGCTCWTTTTAAATCYWYACTTTGACTTTTAATACTTAACTACAACAAATATCACATACTTTAACACTTTTAATACTTAACTACAACAAATATCACATACTTTAACACTTTTACTCAAGTAATATTCCTAAAGGTGAAGTAATTTTGTGATAAGATACTTGTACTTTTACTCAAGTATCAATTTGTGGTACTTTATACAACACTGTGTAATCTATGACAGTATGATGTACTGCAGTATTATTTATCAGTGATGCTCCACCAGGACTCCCGCACTGCGCATGCGCAGCACTAGCAGCAGCTAGCAGTTAGCAGCGGGTTACAGCCGGAGTGTGTAATGGCGGCCTCGGTGTTGTTGGGGTCTGCGGAAAGCACCGGACTCCACTTCACGGTCGGAGCCGGCGGCAGCACCGGGACTGCCCACCTGGGGAACACCAACGGACTGGGCCAGGCAGGTCCGGCATCGTGGAACCGTTCCCTGGAGCGGGCGCTGGACGAAGCCTCGGTAACCGGGTGTGTGAACCTGAGCGGCAGGAAGCTGAAGGAGTTTCCCCGGAGCGCTGCCAACCACGACCTGACGGACACGGTCAGGGCCGGTAAGTGAGCCCCACAGCCGCCACCGGACCCACGGACAAGGACCGGCCTCTGCTACGAACCCCGGGGGAACTYAGAGCTGTTCTCGGGTTTAAACTGCGGGTAAAGTTGAATTAAACTCCGGGTTCTGGACAGGATGATGGAGGAGCGAACGGGCCGGTGTTGTGGTAAACACTGCACCCCCGCWGAATGCTGCCCTCCCGCCGGTCCGGGTGGCTGAGTCTGACCAGCACCAGTAACAATAACTGTTTGAAAATAAACCAGAGGCTGGTTTGAGTCGAACAGTTAGTTTCTGAGGCAGGAGGAGGAGGGAGCTAAAAATAACATCCGCTAACTTTAGCGGGTTAAACATTTTTCTTTTTTAATTTCGTTATCTAGTTCAGGTGTAAACCCGTACAAACAGATGTAAACAATGCCTCAGYTCTGGACTCTTGTGTTTCCGTGTGCAGATGACAGTCGTGTAGTCTGCAGGTAGAGATGGACAGGACCCTGTATTTCCGGGGTAACAGTTTGCGGCAGAACACCGGTGTAGCATGCTAACATGGAAACGATCCGCTAAAACACAGCTACATGGTTGTTTCTTAGCTCTGCTGGGCTGCGGTGGTCCAGGACTTGGTTCTGGTGCTGGATCACCGATGGGGCCGRGGACAGCCTCACCCAGGGTGTGACGTCAGGGAAGGTGACACGACACCTGTGTGGCTTTGTTTTGTTTTTAATGTTCGTGGTCGCTCCACCCGCGCGGGACGTTTTGGAGGAGGAAACAAACAGATCAGATAATTATCGATCTGATGATCGATTATTCCTCAGGAGAGACCTGAAGGGTGCTGAAATCATCCATCCATCCATTTCATCCATCCGTTCATCATCCATCACTTCATCCATCCGTTCATCATCCATCATTTCATCCATCCGTTCATCATCCATCATTTCATCCATCCGTTCATCATCCATCCATCATTTCATCCATCCATCACTTCATCCATCCGTTCATCATCCATCATTTCATCCATCTGTTCATCATC